AAACTGGGGGGGGGGGGGGGGAATTGCAACCATTGCAGTGGGGCTACCCACACACTGCAAGGGTTAAGTGCTTGTTTGTGTCTAGGTTAAAAATAAAAAGTTACTCACCTGATCCTCTGAGCCAGCCAGCTTTCGGACCAGTTCCTTGAGTCTCTCTGCTCCTCTTCTGCAGTAGTCTGAGGTCCCCGAGTCATCACATTCTATACACTATGTATGGGGCGTGAGAATGCCGAGAGTCATACCTTCGCTGCAGCAGAGGAGGAGAAAGGTTGGAGGGAGTGCTGTCACAGCCAACTGAATCTGAGGTTCGGGTGAGTATAACTTTTTTGTTAACCTAGACACATACAAGCACTTAACCCTTACTGTGCAGGGGTAGCCCCACTGCAAGCGTTAAGAATTGCTCTGCATCACAAAGGTATCATAACATTAAAATGGTACACTGTAGTCCTAATACAAAAAAGCCAAGGCATTTCTTGTCAAAGGTGTAGGAATAGTGATGGGTTAACATTCTTGGGTTCGATTTGTGGGTGTGTTCAGCGAATTCCCCGAAAAGTTCACCAGTTACAAACTCTATTGTGAACCCCACTAAAGCCAATGGGAGGCTAATGTTGTAAATCAATTTTAGGGCTAATAGGTAAGAGGCTGGCATACAAAAGGCATGGGAAGCTGGACACTGCCTTGGGGGACATGTACCAATGTAAAACATTTCCTTTATCTGAGCCAACCTGTGAGTCTCATTGTCACAGGTCGGCTAGAACTATGAGGTGAGTGAAAAGCACTCACCTCATAGTTCTCCTTTAAAGCTGTATGTGGTGTTCTAGAACATTACGATTCTTGGGGATTGTGTCAGGGACACTGTATCCTGTCATCATAGAATCTGAATGTGTAATAAATTTTTTACAGTTTACATTATTCATTGGCTTAAATAAAGAAGCAGCACCCCTATCTGAATAATTTTAATTTGAAAAAAAAACTTTGATAGTTTTTGTAGTGACACTTTTTTTTATACAACTGTAGTAGTCAGAATTGAGCATTTGAAATAGTAGGCACAACAGATCTAACAGCTATTGGAAGCTTTACACTTAAAAAAAAAAAAAGTTACGGTAAATCCGTTAGATTCATAACAATTGCCAAACAGTGGCAAAACATGTGTCATACCATAACTTGTGAACTTCCTTAAGTGCAGTAACACACTGTATTGTCTACAAAGCTTAAAAAAATCTCAACAAAGTGCAAAAAAAATGTCAAAACCACAACTACACGTTCCAGAAAATGACAGAACCATATTTCAGAGACAATGTAGTCAGACATATAGGAAAATGGCTGGAGAGTATGTAAGCAGTTTGATTGGGCAGCAGTGTAAGAGGGCAAGACGTATTCTAAAAATCAAATAAAAATGACAGTAAATTTTGTTAGATATTAGCAGAGATATTATACAGTCAGCATCGAATCAGTGGCAGGAAATTATATTAGGATAAGAGGCCAGTAGTGGTAGCAGGAGATGTTAATGTATGGCAAGCCAGCAGCAGTGGAAGGAGATAAACAAAATATGCACTGCACTAAATGGTGTATAAATCATCCAACTACTAAAACAAATCCACTACATGCACAAACCAATACATACACAAATGTGCTTAATAAAAACAAACTTGCGTTCAATCAAATCATATAAATAGTGCACAAACCTGTTCAATTAATACATATCAAAAATACCTTCATTTGTGCTAAAATTACCAATTAATTGTGCAATAATAAGTGATAATAACCAGCAAGAACAATAGTGCAGTTTCAGTCCACTAAAGAATTCCAATATCCTTTGTGTCAAGAAAAAAGTCGAATGGACTCACCAGAAGTTGTTGATCATTAACACAGTAGCGCTTATGATCCTTATCATCAAA